GCTTAAACTGCCCCTTGGCTGATCACTCTTCTCTTTGGCTTCCTGGGTTCCACCCCTTCCTCCTGCTCTTCCGGCCTGCTACTCTGTGCTACGCCTGTGCTTACCTTTTTAAAATGTTGAAGAGCAAAAATGTCATTTGAAGACTAAGGTGTGCCTGACCCAAGACATGGTATTTTTGATAGCTTCTTATGAGTGTGAAAGTTGGACAGTGACCAAGGAACACCACAGAATTGATATATTTGAATTGTGGTGTTGGGCAAAGAATATTGAATATACACGGACTGCCAGAAGAACTAACAAATCTGTCTTGGAGGAAGTGCAACCAGAATGCTCCTTAGAAGTAAGAATGGTCAGACTTCATCTCTCATGCTTTGGTCATGGTATCACTAAAAGGACTGATCCCTGGAGAGGATATTGTACTTGGTAAAGCAGAGGGTCAGTGAAAAGGGGGGAAACCCTCAAGAAGATGAATTGACACAGTGACTGCAACAATTGTGAGGATGGTGTAGGACTAGACAGTGTTTGATTCTGTTGTGCATATGGTCGCTATGAGTTGGAAGTGACTCGACAGCACCTAACAACGTAAAGCACGTAGCACAATGCCTGACACATAGTAAATGTATGATATTTGGCAATTTACTATTTCTTAGCACATAATAACATTTATGTTCTTTTCAAAATAAAATTTTGAAAATTTTTAATTAATTCACGTGACCTTCACAGCAGTCTTCCAAAGAGGAGAGTGTTCAGGGTAAGGAATGAGCCATTTTCTCGTGAAGTGTATATGACCCCTTCACTGTTCCAGTGCTTCTTCTGGTTGTGAGAGGTTAATGAATAGGGTGATTAAGAGACTTGACGATGATCACATAGCTAGGTATACTCACTGGCTTTGATGTTCTTTCCATTACCATAAACCTCACCCAGATTTTCAGTGATCGTAGAGAAATTGTTGCTGTTGTTTTGGCTTTGATCTTTATATCATAAACCAGAGCACACACAAAGAAAGTCACAGGATAGCATTTAATTTACATTAATTTGTTCAAATTCATATATTTAATTTGATGGCCAGAGGCCCCTGGAAAAACCGTTATGAAATTGTGGTTGTTCTCAACTGGCATCCCTGTATGATCTTGGTGCTTATAGGGTGTGTGGCCCTAAATAGTGCCATGATAGACAACTTCCACATCTCCCTGGTAATGCTCATGAAGATACAATGCTGGATGGCTTCCAAGTTTTAAGGGAAGATTTTGGCCCTTTTTAAGAGCTTATGATCCCAAAATAGATCATAGAGGCACTGGCCCCAAAGAACCCAGGCTGAATGGGAACAATTAATCAGCAGAAAGTTTTTATTTTCCTACTGTGTGCCTGGAGCTCTGGTAACATAGTGCCTAAGGCACATGACTGCTAACCAGAAAGCTGGCAGTTCAAACCCACCAGCCACTCCTCGGAAGGAAGGTTGGGCAATCTACTTGCATAGTGATACCACCTCGGAAACCCAAGGAGGGGTCGCTTTGAGGCAGGTCCAACTCAACGGCACATAACACAACAACAACAACTGTGTGCCTAGCACTAAAAGGGGGGGTGTGGTGGTAAATATCTGCAATAACATAGAGTTTCCTTTTGGGTTAAATGCCAAAGGAAAGGAAGGAGTCTGGTCACAGGTCACGTAGAGAAGATGTGATTTCAGGAGGGTACGAAAGGAAGCTGCAGAGAGGCTGGCTGATATGAAGGCCAGGCAAAGAGGTCCAGACACAGGCGCAG